GCTGGTCGCTTCGGCGATCGGACTCAAGGGCTACGTCCGGTCAAGTGGTCGGTCCGCATACGCTTTAAGGTTAAGCACCGACGTTGGGTTGTGTTCGGTCAAGCATGACCGGACGCGTCCCGGCCGATAAAATTGGTTCTGGACCTCATCGAAAACAACCGGACATCGAGGGTCCAAGGTCCGGTCAATCGACCGGAGCGCCCATTCGAGCAAGGTTGATGACCGTTGAGTGTACACACGGTTAACTATGAGCGATCGGACGTCTGGGGGCTCACGTTCGATCAACCGGGACCGGAGCGTCCGGTCAGCCCGATATGCCTTGGTGAAGGGTATAACGGTTATATTTCGTGGGGCTTTATTTAAGCCCCATGGCCGGCTATAGCTCATATCTTTGGCCATTTTCATTGACATAGCAACCTTGTGAGCTTAGCCAAAGCCTTCCCACTCATCTCCATCATTGATTTATCATCATAGTGAGATTGTGAGTGAACCCAAGTGCATTGCTTGAGTGATTGCATCTAGAGGCACTTGGTGTTCGTGTTTCGCTGCGGATTTCGCTTGTTACTCTTGGTGGTTGCCGCCACCTAGATGGCTTGGAGCAACGAGGATCGTTGAGCTGAGGGTGGTAATTGTCTCCGGCTCCGATCGTGGTGATTGTGAGGGATTCTTAACCTTTCTCCGACGGAGCGCCAAAAGGTACTCTAGTAGATTGCTCGTGGCTTGTGTGATCATCATCTTGTGTTAGTTAAAGCGGCACCCTATTGAGGGTTTGGCGGTGAAGCCAATTAGCGTGAACCTCCAAGTGAGTGAATCGCCATAACGAGGACTAGCTTGTCAAGAAGCAAGTGAACCTCGGTAAAAAATCATTGTGTTCATCATTGATTCCGAGGTGATTGGTCTTCATTGTTATCCACACTTGTGATTGATTGGTTCATACATCTACACGGTGGTATAACCTTCTTGCCTACTCATTACATTACCGCAAACTAGTTGTTAAGCTCTTTAGTGTAACTAATTGTGAGAGCTTGTTAGTTTGGTTAGTGTGGCTCTTTAGTTAGCTTTTGAGAGCACACTAACTTAGTGTAGTGATATAGCTATTGTGTGGATATACTTCATTTAAACTAGAATTGTGGTAGGTGGCTTGCATTTTGGTAGGCTAGCGATAACTCGCTTCGCCTCATAATTATCTAATCCTTTTGTTAAGTGTTGTTGTAGAATTTTTATTAGGCTATTCACCTCACCTCTAGCCATTAGGACCTTTCAGCAGCAGGGCGCGGGGCCAACGTCTCGCTGCGGCTGGCCTTGACCAAGCCCATGTGGCTCGACCGGCCAAGTGCGGCGGCACGGTTGACCGCGAGGGACGCGGCCATGTGCGCGTCGTGAGAAGGCCACGCGGTGACTGCGCACCCGACGCCAACCAACCCGAGAGAGTGATATGCACGAATTTTAAAGCTGCTCAACATGACCAAACGGGTTGCTTTAGGACCTAAACTATCTTCACCATGCTCAAGATGGCACATGAGACTACCAAATTGAGCTATAACACTACACCACTCCCTAACCCAATCTCTCACAATAAATTGCTAAACATAGCAATGTCTAACTGTTGGCAGACTTGAAAATTTCGAAGTTTTTGAGCTGAATTTGATTTTCAATTTGTGATTTCTAAGCTCGTGGAAATATTAGCTAGCAATATCATTTTTCGACCACAAGTATTTCATTGTCATCTACAAAGTTTATACTTCAAACTTTATTTAAGTATCACATATATGTTCTATAGCATTTTTGTTTAATAAAAATTAGTTTTAAACCCTAAGTGATATAACATGACTATCGAATCAACTTTCGTTTCACATTTTAGTTGATCGTTTCGAGTTACAGAAATTGATCTACACACTTTATCACGTGCATTAACACATAAACATGATGCTCATGACATGTTTTAGTAAATGATTTATGGTGTAAAACCGAAGGTGTTACAACATTGAAGCAACAAGTCTTGAATATCTTCTCGCTGGTTGTTGTGCGAGTAAGTGGTTGTACCTGGAGATACAGGAGTAGGGTTATCCACAATGACATAGGCCCATATATCATTCCCTTGAATGGATTTGAACATCTATTTAGCAGAGATAATATTTAGGACAGTGGGGTTGGCTGTAGACCTTGAGAGTAATGAGTTTCCTTGATGATATGAAACTGTAATGTCTTAGCTGCCCAATCACATTGCATGGGACTGAAGGTTTGGAGCCAATCAAACCCTAAAATGGCATCATATGGTAGCAAGTCCAACATTACCATGTCAGTGGTAAATGTATGGCCTTGAATGTAGCACTGTAGGCCCTTAACTTGTTTAGCTGTAGTCATCCAGTTGCCATTGGCTAGCTTGACCTTCTGCTGCTTCATGGGAATAGTAGGCATTGAGTGAGATTAACAAAATGGGAACTAACAAAAACGTGTGACTGCTGCCAGTGTCGATTAAGATGAGCATAGTTTTGTTCTTCACTGTTGCTTTCAACTTGATTGAATTAGCAGCTTCAGACCGGCCATAGCATTGATAGACAACTGACCAAAATTTTTAGTGAGCATTTCATCGATAGCCATTTCATTCAACAGGTCTTCATTGATTTCCTTGTCCAGATTCCAGATCATTAACCACCAAGGCATTGAGCTGGGGCTTGTTCTTTTTTGCATAATGTTCGGCATGACCAGGCTCATATTTTTCTCCACAATGATAGCATAGATTGTTAGCCTTTCTGTAGTCCCTCAATTGTTTGTGCCTCCAGAGATTGCCATATATGGATGGAGGTTTGGCTTCAGGTTTTGCATGTTGAACTTTGGGATTAGGTTGCTTCTGTTGATACTTAAGGTTGCTCCCTGTGCACAATTTTTTGCTGGATTTTGGCAATGACAACAGCTCTTTCTACAGTTGTTGGGACTTGGGGTTCCACCACAGCTCTAATATCATCCCCTGAGAGCTCTCACATATTGAGTGACAAAGAACAGAGGGTCATAACTAGGCCCATGCATAGTCACATCATATTGGAAGGACTGAAACTTTGTAGTGTATTCCTCCACAGTAGATGTTTGCTTGAGATCTCAAAGCTCATTGATGGCCGATCTATAATCATCACTGCCAAACTATTCTTGCACATCTGCAGAAAATTGCTGCCAAGTAACTGCAAGATGAGTTAACTTATAAGTTTGCCACCATTTGGCAGCATTCCTTTCCAGATGCATTGTTGCTGCTTCCACCCACAAACTTTTAGGAATTGAATAGATGGAGAAATAGTAGTGACATTTGTCCAGCCAGATCTTTGGTTGAGTACCATCAGAAGAGGGAAAATGCATTTTGGGCAAGGTGTGGTGAGGCAATGATTCTGGTTTTGGTGGTGGCTTGGTGGACTTGTATTGGTGAGATGGTTCTGGCTTAGCTTTTTATTTCCCATTGGCAAAGACATTCTCAAACTCAATCTCATCATCAGCTATGACTGATCCAAGATCGACAGAACCAGCCTCCCTCTCAAAGTGTCTCAGAGTCAGTTGAGCAACTGCCTGACCATTAGCACACATTTGTTGAGCGATGAACTGTTGGTCTGCTGTACATTGAGCCATTTTCAGATTGGTGTCAGCTTAACTGTTGCTTAACCTCTTGCTGAATGATACCGATATCGTTTCATCCTGGTGAATAGGAGATCGAAATTGTCCATCACTTGCCTTTCACGGGTTCGATCCCCTTCAAAGACTTGTCGACATCTCGCTCCAACAAGATTTAAGGCTCGCACCAAAAGGTTTAGGGCTGCTTGGAAGGCGCCATGATGCAAAACTTATTGTGAAACAAAGAATGAACAAGTAGTGTAGCAACAGGTTCAATGAAACATCTCTTATCGTGGTGCTACATTGAATCCCAACTCCTCGAATCGAGGCTCGATCGAGGGATTTTACACGGAAACACGCCGCCCCGCAACCCAAACCGAAGGACAACCCCCACCGTGACGCCACCACTCAGCAATCGCGCTCGCAGCTTTACGGAATTTTACACGGAGATAGAGGCTTCGCAACCCTAGGTTGGTAAACGATGCTAGCTAGAGAAGAAAGGGTGAGCGATAGAGTACACGCCGCTGAACCGGATCTCGTCGGCGCGGAACCCTAGTCGAAGAAGGTGTAGCCGAAGATGACGGCATTGGCCGACAGCTTGACGCATCCGCCCGATCTCGTCGATTGAAGCCGCCACCACGATCTGCCACCGAGGATGCGTGCTACGGTGCTCGAAGCTCGCCAATTTGGTGACTTTGGAGGTGGACTTAAAAACGAAAAACGTCAATGACCTCGGATCAACCAAAGAGTGGAACTACAAGACCTCTAGCACAAAGACCGCAAGGATGCCGTCGGGGATCTACCAACCACCCCGGATTACGATTTGAGATCAAGCAAACGAGATCGAGATCGGAAGGGAAAGTAAAATCGACAATGGGCCGAGGATAGATGGTCTTTGATACCACTTGTAACACCGTGGCAACCGACGGTGATCGCCGAGACGTGAGAGACAAGATGGCTATTGCCCGACGAGGAAGGAGCAGAGGACGGCTCTATCTTCGGTTCACTCAATAGCAAGATTCTTAATTGTCTTACAAGCCACCGTTGCTGAAAATATAAGGCATACAGCCGACCGGTCCCTGGGACCCCTAGTCATACTACTATAGTGTGGAGGGTCAAGAAAATAGATAAACTCGTGTCAACTTTCTGCCCTCCTAAAAACCCTCATGTTCAATTCCCTTTCATGAGAAATTTACTTTATGTAAATATATTGAGATTTGGTAGGTAATAAAACAAGTATAACAATAGTATATATATTCAGCTACACGTAGACGTAGTCGTCTCTGCCCACGGCAGCACGGGAAGAAAGAGGGCCGAGACAAAGAGCCTGAGAGAGGCCGCCGCAACTGCACACCGCAGACGGCATAGCAGCACTAGTGGCTACAGCGCGCACGGAACACGAGGCAATGCCGTCCAGCTCCAGTCGCCGCCGCCCGCTGCGGCCGCTCGTACCTGGCCTCCTCCTGTTCCTCCTCGCCATGGCGCCTCCACCGCCGGCTTCCGCGGTGGGTGTGAACTGGGGCTTCGCGTCCTCCCACTCGCTCCCGGCGGCGCAGGTCGTACGGGGCCTCCTCCTCCCCAACTCCGTTCCCCGCGTCCGCCTCGCCGCCGCCTCCTCCGACGCGCTCGCGGTGCTTGCAGGCACCGGCATCGCCGTCAGCGTTGGGGTCCCTGACGCGCTGCTCCGGCCCCTCGCCTCCTCCACCAAGGCCGCCACCGCCTGGGTCCACGACAATGTCACCCGTTACTCCTCCAGCGTGCGGTTCGAGTAAGAGCTCCCTTCCAATGCACGATTTTTAGGTGCCTCGGAGTCTTTTGCTTGTCGAATGTTCTGAGAGAAAACGAAGCACGGATGATGGTTTTAGTTGACCTAATTCTCATGTCGACAGAAAAGGACCAATTGGGCACAGCTGACTTCCAATTGACTCGATTAATCAATATGACTGCAGTCTTCGTACTCACAACCCGTTACAGTAGTCACTACAGTTCTACTGTGGATGGCTGGATCCCACGGAAAAGTGGGCTGTGCTGCCTGTGCATTTGTTACCTTATTTCTATAATAAGATTGGATATTATGTCGGATGTGTGGCTGATCAATCTGAATCGAAGAAGGGAACCATTTCTTTACTGAATGTATTAGTTGGCTTCAGTTGATAACTTGGTGCTTCTGCCTTGCAATAGTTCACTGGAATTTTCTTATAACTAGGTAGTAGTAGTACCTGGAGAACCTCTTCTGTGAAATTTAAACTATGAAAAATCCACAAAATGTCACTACTGATATGCTGGTAGTGACAGGTTCCTGATTGGTGAATGCGATTGAGGGATGCTACAATGACTTTTATCTATGCCAAGTAAACAATTGGAGGTAGAATTTACCATTTCGGAGAACATCAATGGGCAGAATGTGAATATAATCCTCTTAGGTTACAACTTTGAGCCTGGGAGGACATTTAGGTTATCTTTTGATATTCTTCATTTCAGATATCAGGTTCAAAAGTAGCAGAATAATAGAGTTGTATTTTACGCTCACTGCTATGTCAAAGCCTAGACCCTAAATAAAAACTCAACTCATGGGGTAAGACAGCCCCCGGCATTGTGTTTAAGAATAAGACCTTCTCACGCAGGGGTCGAGAAACCCCCGAACCTCTCGCCCACCCATACACAAATGCACCACCGTTCTCTGTGAGACTGGTTGGCCAGAGACCGTGCTTTGGCGTGGGAGACGACGGATTTTTTTTTTTCAACGCAGATAATCGCGCCCTCCGCCAACAAATCCGCCTCGAGGGGTTCAACTCTGGCCGCAGGCAGTGCAAAGTGCACAGCCAAACCAACTGGTTCAGCATTCGCCACGCCTAGACCCTAAATAGCCGGAAAAGAGTACATAGTTGGGTCTTTAGTGATGTGTACCTTTTGTGGCAGATGATTATGTTTCATTTCTGCAAAAAAATTTAATTTGCGCTGTGTTATAGAGCAAGTATCATGATGACATTGTATATCCCACTGCATAGATGAAGTGAATCATGCGTTAAATAATGCCATTATTTGTGTTCAATCTGTTTGTGCATCTGTTTGTTAAATAATGCCATTTTTAAATTGACAAACAAATTGACTTCACAGGTATATTGTTGTTGGGGATGAGCCCTTTCTTCTACGTCATGGACAGAATTTTCATCCTTTTGTAGTTCGTGCAGCAGAAAATGTTCAACAAGCATTAGTCCATGCAAAATTGTCTGGCAAGATGAAGGTGGTAGTACCTTGTAGTGCTGACACATTCCAGAATGCATCTACCCTGCCCTCGAAAGCTAGCTTCAGATCTGATGTTAACAAGACCATGGCAGATCTCCTCTCATTTCTTGCCAACAGCAGTTCTCCATTTATGGTCGAGCTGGATCCATTTTTTAGCTTTCAACACAACAAAAATATGTCATTGGACTATTACCTTTTCCAACTAATGTCTCATCCTGTAAAAGATGGTCAAAACAAGTATGACAACCACGTTGATGCAAGCATAGATGCTCTGGTTACTTCTCTAACCAAAGCTGGCTTCAGTGACATGGACATCATTGTTGGGAGAGCAGGATGGCCAACAGATGGAGCTGTGAATGCAACTCCTGCTATTGCTCAGTCGCTCATGACTGGCCTAGTCAACCACCTGGCCACAAAAGTCTGGGACTCCACTTCGCCCAAAAGTCCCTCCAATTGAGATGTATCTCTTCAGCCTTTTAGATGAAGATCAACGGAGTATAGCTAGTGGAGGTTATGAAAGGCACCATGGCATTTTTACACTTTGATGGCCAGGCAAAGTACTATGCCAACATAGGTCAAGGTCCTAAATCACCAAGAATACCCCTGATGTCAATTACCTTCTATCAAAATGGTGTGGTAGACAACAATAAGGATTTGTCCAATGTTTCTTCTAGTTTCTCGTCAGCTTTGCTCCAATGGCGACTGCACTTTCTGTTACCTGGTGGCTCCTGCTCAGGTCTTGCCTGGCCTGGTAATGTGTCATATATGCTCAACAACTACTACCAGCAGCATGATCAGAGTGAGGATAGTTGCTACTTCAATGGCCTAGGTTTGATAACTACTGTTGATCCATCTGTCGACAATTGTTTGTTTCCTCTCGCACTGCACTTCTGCTGCCACTTCTTTGCACCCAACATTGCCCATGTTGCTATTATTAGTTTTGTGGTTTTGCATTGTCTGTATATAGTCTGGTGAGGCTAGATTGAGCCTTCAAAGTGTTTCTTTGGGCCTCTTGTTGAATGTACTCCAAAGTCTCGGTGCACCATCAGATAATATTATTCCTGAATGGCACAATTTCTGATGTCTCTTAGAGTGGCTATCAGAATTGGTAGGTTTAGTCCAAATGTAATGATGTGTTTTAAAATAGTCTGGCTGAGTCAACCAGCAGCTCTTCTCTTGTTCAAAAATTTGAACCTGGTAATGTTGCCATTTCATGATAGATACATTCTTGGTTTCACTACATCTTAGAAAGTCCAATCAACAGAAGGTGCTGCACGTTATGCATTTTAACTACAAGTGAACCGCGCAGTTTAGTTGGAGACCTAAGCAGCAGTGTACAAAGTCTAATCCACAGCTGTGACTCTGTGAGCTGGGGGTTGGGCCTGCCACAGAGGGGAGCATGTCTTTTGTTTGTGCAATTGTCAGTGCCTAAGAAAATGTGTTATACAGTTATACACGGTCAATTATTCATCTTTCAGTCAATGAACACTGACTTATGTAGAAGAACTTGTACAGATACCGGTAAACGGATGCTGACTTACTGAGATGCCTTGTAGTCCCTCGGTCCCATAAACAAAGACATTAGGGCCTGTTTGATGCTTGAATTGAATTCATTCTAATAATTATAATTTAGGCATAGATTAATTAAGTCAATATAGTTGTATATGAAATATATTTATATATTTATTGTTAGCATACAAGGGACATACTTATATGTTTGTATTTTTATTGTAGGGAAGTGAGTTGAAGAGTGTTATAAGTTGAAGAATAAAATTATAGCATAGTGATCTATAGAATTAATTTCTATCTCTCACCCTTTGAATTTGAGATAGGTTTATTTTGTGAGCTTGTGCAAGTTATGGAATGTCAAATTTCAAGCCAAATAGCCTAATCAATTACGTAGGTTTCAATTCCTTCGGAATGAAGAGATCCAAACGGCCCCTTATAGTATTTAAAATTTGTCACGCAAAGAAAATCTGTTTGTTTTTGCATGCATAAGTCAGGGGTGCACTCTTCACTGTATGAGATATTTTTGGTTCGGAGATACATATAACACCAATCATAACCAAAAGGTATAAGTTCATTTTCAACCTCTAATTTGTACGTCAGTTCGCTTTTCAACCTCAAATTATGAAATCGGATATTACTTAAAAGGTCTTCTAACTGTTGAAACCGGACGAAGTTTAGTCCTTTAGCTATTTTCAAAGGTGTTTTCCTATTTTAGAAATAATAAAAATCTAGTTTAATCTCAAAAAATACATAACAAATTTATTTTGAATTTGAAAAAGATATGAAATTAGTAGTACCGATTTTTTGAAAATGTTGTTTATTCACCGGTGCTTTATTTGGATCTTATTTGTTTTAAACTAGAAAATTCCTCGCTGTTGTTCAGAGGGAATTTTTAGAGTAACTTTAGATGTCTATTGGATGAAACAAACAATACTATTTAAAAAAATTATGAATTGAAATATACATTACCTCGGATGAATTCCATGTCTCAGGTGAAAACTGCACATGTTGTTGCACACGTAAGTGGGTGAGGTAAACTGATAAATACTCATCTAATTGTTAATTCGTGCCAATTATATAATCAACTTTCTTACAACTGATTCCATCAGTGTATCATTTACAACATTGTTGTTAAACACTTTGCAGAACTTTAGGATAGTCACGAAGAGAATATAACAGTAATCCACTAAAGCAGGCCATCCTTCGTTGTGTAGAAAAATAGAAATACCAAATTTTAGGAAAATGTTGTGCAGTGTGCACTATGTGGGCTAGTGACTGAAGGCTCGAGAGATTTATACCCAAAAAAAATTGATTGTAGAAATAACATGAAGTAATAGCTAGCTGCCCTGGAAAGGAAATAATTAGCAAGAAGATTGAGGACCTCATATAATTATCATTGGGCATGAGGTATGAAATTACTAATGAGAGGTGAGAAGGTATGGATGTTGTTGAAGGAAAAGAAAAAAAATTGATAAGTATATATTCAATTTTTTTAGACAAAGAAGAGGATTCTTGCAAACCTATTGCCACGTAATCAAGGAATCCTATCAATCACTTGCAAAGCAGCATAGTGGCAAGTTCTGTACCTTCCATCTGAGATCAATAACATCAGATCAATGATTTGTTTAATGAGGGATAACTGAGAGGTCATCCACAATGGACATGGAAGGTGACTGTTGCTGCTAGCCTAAGGCATTCTTGGCCCTGAGGACACATATGCAGCAGCCTGTGGATGGAGCACAGACATAGACGGTGACCATTGCTGGCATTACAGCAGTAAGCAGTTGGTGATGAAGCTTGCAGGAGACGACGATACTCTGGATACTTTATGCAAGTGTTGATGACATCGTACTGCGCTCACTACCTAGAGATGATGGCCTCCTGTGTTCCCATTTTTAATGTGGACAGAGAGGGGAGTGTCCAGTGACTGTCAGCTCCAATTTTATGAAGGTGGCTTCATTGGTGCGTCAGTTTCAGATTTGTGAAGGAAACGATTGGGCTATTGTTGTGCCTCTGTGCCTCTTCGTGAGGTTCGAAATGGTTGCGCGGCAGATACTAATGGCCATGAAAGAGGATGGAAATAAGTGGAGAAATTGCACAAACAATTAATAGCCAGGATGGAAATGACTGCTTAAGATACGATGGCTAAAACAATGGTGATGACGTGGCACAACGTGGAAGTAGAAAAATAGGATTAGTGGAGTTTTGTTTTATAAGAGATATAGATAGATAGATAGATAGATAGATAGATAGATAGATAATAAGCATGACTATGAGTTTCATAATTTTTATTTATTTAAAGTAAATTAGCTATCAAGTTTTTACAAAATAAAAAAACGACATTTGAAATCAGCAAGGAGGACACGTTCTCGGATCTGGTTTTATAGTTCAAGGTTGACAATCAAATTATGCAAAATACCCTGTTTTCAAATCAAAATCAAAATACATAAAATTGGAAGATAAGCAGGCATGACTGTGTCCGTGGCTCCACGGCAGTATGGCACGGTGGAATTTTACATTAGTGCGGTAGTGCCAGAGAATTTAATTTACTGTCCACTTTCTTTCCATTAGGGAGAGATTAAAAGCGTGGCTTTTTACACATTCTGAAACTAATTGTGACTCTTGGCTTGCCTGCAGTTACTGCCTGCACCTTCTATAAAGTACAGCCGCGAGCCTCAGCTACAAATTAATCCAGCGCATATCTTTACTTAACCTTCATTCATCGTCCCAAGTTTTACTCTTACTAGAGCACAAGGCACCACCACCAACCATGGCATTCTTCCGCCTGTCCCTGCTGGCGCGCGCTCACCTGCCTGGCGCTGCTCGCCGCGTCGACGGCCGCGCAACGGGCGCCGCCGATGGCTTTACCCCGTCGTCGTCGCCTTCGGTTCGGGGCCTGCCTGCACTGGCGGAGCGGCTGGAGGGCGCGGAGACGCAGCAGTGCTGGGAGGCGCTGGTGGAGATCTGCCGCACGGGCGAGATCATCATCCTCTTCATCAAGGGCGAGGCGTTCCTGGGGCCTGGTGCTGCCGCGCCATCCGCGTCATCGAGCAGAGCTGGGGCGCTGACTCCGTGCTGTCCATCATCGGCTTCACCCCGCAGGAAGGGGGACATGCTCAAGGGTACTGCAACGCGGGTGGCGACAACGACGGCGGCGGGCAGAGCGGCTCGCCGCCACCAAGCGGTGCGGACGCGGTCGAAAGCTGCTGCCCGCGAGAGCGTCGCTGCCGTCGCGGGAAGGAAGAGCTCGATGCACAGATAGATAGATGGATCATGATGTGGTTCGTTTCACGTCCAATCTTGCTGGCTTCTGTACATAACATACACCAAATAAATTGTCTCGAGAAAGTTTGGCTTTTGCTGATATGAATAATAGTGATAAATCTTACCCCTGCTGCAGAATGTTGTCCTTGAACTTTGGTACTAAAGCTGTTTCAAATTACAAGTGGTTTGACTTTTTTAACCTCGAATTTGACTACTCATCTTATTATAAAATCTGTGCTAAACATCACTTTTGTCATGACTTGCTTTATTAACAAAAAAGTTTTTTAAAATGACTTAAATTGGACTATGTTTGTATAAATTTTTGCATAGAAACCTGTATGTGCTCTGACGATTCAGTTCTGGCCTTGTGAGTGGGTTCGGCGTCTACATCACACCCGTCACCCTGCACGACACAGGCCGCGACAGAAAGCCCTGAGGCTGGAAAGGAATGAGGCCGCGACACAGGCCGCGCCGCAGGACGGATGGGGACGTTGCTGCTGTCGGCCGAGCCCTGAGGCCGGCCAAGGAATCGTCGGTCTCGGAGTCCTGACGCTTGAGCAGTTGAGCCTCGTGACTGTCGATGCGGAACAAACGCCAAAGGGCTTCCTCCTCGCTTCCCCTCATCCTCGGTCACAAGCAGAAAAAAGCCACACGCCCCGCCCATCCTCGGTTGCGCTGCCGCTGCGAATGCCGCCTGGGGCCCCTGCCTGCCGCCGCTTCTCCTTCTCCTCCTCCTCACGGCCGACTGCAGCAGCGGCCTCGCCGGTGCGGGGGAAGGCGGCTCCTGCGAGTTCTCCGTCGAGCGCGGTGGCGAGTTTACAGCTTCGCCCCTCGCGGCGTTGACGCCGGCGCACCGCCACGGCGTGCTCAGCGAGGACGGGTATGTGACGTAGGTACCATGGCGAACTACTATATACTAAGACCAGTGTGATAATCATAACAGCATGATTGGTCATAGATCTAGCATATATACCGACATTTGATGAAGTGTAAACCTTAGAACATGTAATGCAGTACGGGATTAACAGATAGAGTGAAAAGAGATAGTTGAGGAGGTAAACCATCCGGCCGCCTTTTGTAGAAGACGAGCTGATCATGGGGTTGTTTTGACGGTATGCGCGTGAAGTCTGGATTATGAAGGCGCCTGTCATTGTGGCATATGACGGCGGTAGAGGCAAGCTACCGTGGCGGTTTTCCATCATCGGCAAAGACTCATCTTAGATCGGTTAGTGTTTTGGGAATGTAGGTGGGGCGTTCAGCGGCTCGGTGAACCTCCTCGCCTTGTGCCCCTGGCCCCCATCCTCTTTTTATGACGTTGCAGGCGACGGGGCCCACCAACCATAGAACGGTTGGACGCCTTTATCAAGACGAGAATTCATAGGCCCAATTGACCGCTGGGCCAATTGGTAGAGATCATCTAACATTCTCCTCCTTGATTTCACCTTATGACTTAAACTCAACTTACTTACTTTATCTTGTTCCCATTCCATCACGTATCGTTGTATAGAGCGTGGCCTCATCGTCACTGGTCAATTGTCATTAGATTAAATACCACAATGCACCTCTCTGCTTTTGAAACAGATTCTCAACTAGGTCCTTATTGTCCAGAATCATAGGTTTTCCTTAAACCCATGTCGATTCAAGTGTCTCGTGAACACGCCATGTGGTAAGCCTTTGTGTCGGATCCACTTAGTATCTTTTCTCGCTCTTATATGCTCAAGACTAATTATATGATCCCGGACTTTGTCTTCACAACATAATACTTTATGTCAATGTGTTTGGCAAGACCACTTGACTTATTATTGTGAGTGTAACATACCACTTTGGATTATTATCGCAAAGATAACTTGAGTGGTTTTATGTAATACCGCCTCACCACTTTTCAACCCGACAGTGTTGATCATTGAAGGCTTCCTTGAGGTTTGGCATTCTTATTAAAATTCTTCTTCTTCAGCTCCTTCACAAGGTTAGCAGAGTCACCTTAAAGGATTTCCACTTTCTCCTTCTTGGAACACACATTATGGAGTGACCTTCTCTATATCCCATTTATTCGCCGTATGTTGTAATTAACAACAAAGTTTCATATTCCTTTGGCAAGGAAGTAAAATTGAATGAATCCAGAACCCATCCTTGAGCCCTGAATCCATTGGCTTCAAACTTTGAAGCCGTGTTGCTCATCTTCGTGATGTGCTCTCTCGAGTACCGCCACCAAAGATATTTTTTCATTGAATAATTTCTTGATCAAAGTATTGGCATAAGTTTTGAAGAGCTAGTGAACCGACTTTCCAGCTTCTTAAGATACTGTATGTATCACAATTTGGGATAGACCTCTTATCGTGATCTAAAATTGTGGACTTAGCCACCATCAAGCACTTATGGTTTCAAATGTCCCATTTCTTATGCTCGAGATCATATTTTCTTAGACTTCAAGATGATCTCGCCACGAAAGCGATGAAATCGATCGCCTCATTATCTTATCTTACCGGGCCCATCGCTCACGGACACGGGAGGTAAGCGCTAGGTTACTTTCGATACCGTTAGCAAGAGTGCATATTTCTCTCGCCATACTTCGTAGGTTGCCCCTTCAAGAGGCGGTTTATGCGAGATAAAAGTCATTGGGTTTAGTCCCGAAAAACACGGAAGTCAAAGATAGTGAGAAAAATATAATATCATAATTGCATGCTTTAATTCTAATGTTGGTCAAAATTAAAAACATACAACTTTCTTTATACACTAATTCTACATCACCGTTAGATTTAAATAAATTAATGCATGAAAAACTTGAATAAACATTATAATATTGTTATTATCAGTTGCTGGTCGTAAAAAAAATAACAACATTATAATTCTAATGTATTGTAATGACTATTTCTTCTGTTAAATTCTTCCGCTGGTTCAATTTAATTAGGAAGATGATAAACTTTTAACATTGCAGCGAAACATGAAAAAAATTCATTATCTATTTTTCTCGTAAGCATTTAATCCTTCTCAATTATTCTTCAAAATTCATCCCGTTGTTTTAAATTTTGATAGAGATTTTAAATTAGGACAAATATCACAAAAATGCTTCAAAAGAATAAACATAAACTCGTAGTTCACTGCTCATTTGGCCCAGTACAGTTGCCCACTGCTCGGCCTGGCTGGCTGCCACTTTCCTGTGTCAGAACTCCGGCCTCGGGCCGACAAAGCCGCCACCGCGCTCACTGGGCCGACTGCCGCCTGTCAGCTCAGACTGGCCCATCTCGTGATCGAGACGGTCGAGCGTGACCAAGTGAACAAAACCGCGCTGCTGCATCTCCTCCCAACCCTAGCCCATCTGCCTCCTCCCTTCCTCTCCTCAACAAGCAATGAGCAAGAAGGGCTGGGCGAAGCTTAGAGTGATGGCGCTGTCACCGGTTCCCTCACTGGGCGCCAAGGCACTCCCTGCTGTGCTTAGCGCCACGCTGCTGAGTGGCTCCAGTCTGCTGCCGCTTTGGCTGTGTGCCTCACAAAGCCCGATTTACGAGTAAAATGCCCTGGCATCTTTTCCTCACACGATTTAGGACTCAGGCAACAAGGCAAACAAGTGCGGTAAGCTGCCTCCCAAGCCCTCTTCCCTTCCCCCCTTCTCTCGATTTGGATCTCGCTTATTCTTCCTTTGACCTTGTCCGATTGGGGTTAGTTAGGTTAGGTCGAGTTAGGTTAGGTTTATAATCGCTCTTCTTCCCGAAGCTTTCTATCAAGTTGTATGGGGTTCGAAATCTTTTCAAACCGAGACCTTTCTTACTTTTTCTTCAATTCGATTTGGGTTTAGGGTTCGATAACCTCTGCTTAGATCCGAAACGATCTACCACCTTCTTCTAAATGCCATTACCGGTTTTCTAATTCGATAGGCTAGATTCACGCCTAGTTAGGCGACTGATACCATTGATAGAAACATAACAGATCACTAGCCAGATCTAGCGTAGCTAATGACATTTGGATGAAGTAAACCCTAGAACATGTATTAGTACAGGATTAATAGATGAGGAGAAAGATTGGGGTTGAGAGGTAAC